GGTCCAGGCCATAGCCAGCTATTTTGGCTTACGCAAGGTCACGAACCACCTAACTACTACTTACTAGAACATTCCCATCATCCACGATCGGAATACATCCCTGAGTGGATCGATGGTCCTGAAGCATCGGAATCTGATAGGTGACAGCGCTATGAGGCGCAAGTAAAGTCCGGAAAGTTTTATTGGTAGTATCCGGAGGTAACAAATCTTGGGATTGCAGCTTCTCGAACTCCCCTTCCTACCCCATACAGCCACCAAGAATACCCACCGTCAGCATGAGCGTCGTATGCTATTTCGGTGGGCGCTGTGGGCCTGTACTCCGTTGGTCGCGTGCGCCCCAAATCCTCGCCAGCTCTTAAGCCTCACCGATTCTCGTTAGAACTGATTTTGGCTGTTACTAAGTAATGGTAGTAGGTAATAGTCGGTATCTCGATGCATACGCCCCTGTATGCGAATACCTGCTCGCATACATACATACATCCATACCAGACCCCTGTCCTGCGTATTACATACGCCAGTCTTGTCTGATTTGAAGGCCCGATGTTATTTATGCTGTGAAACATGACGTCCCCATCACTATCATGTAGGTACGCCCCTACATGGCACGTACTATAGGCATTAGGTCTTTGATAAAGGACATTGACACTTTATGATCGGGCATATATCAGAACATGAGTCCGCTGTTACACGACAGCAATAGTCAAACTTGACATACGCGGCACCTTTTTGCATGATGCCTCGGTGTAGTGTTGGAAAAACTTGTTTTTTTTTTTTTTTTTTTTTTTTTTTGGCAGCGCTCTACTTGGTCTGCATGAGACTTGACTTGAACAACTGATGTATCCCAAGCAGAACAGTCAGATTAACTGAATATTACATTTCTGCTCCATGCATGCATGCATGCATACTGTATGCTCATATGTGCACTTGCCATGCAGCAGCGTAACCCTGCGTTAGGTAAATCATGTATGCTGTATGTACAAGAAAGAAAAAAAAAATAAAAAGGATGTATTGGAGTTGTAGCGGAGTGTGTATGTAACTGACCTTACATGCATCCAGTGTTACATACTAGACCTTCATACGTACTTGTATCTGCAGGTTTGCGTGTATCTACTAGTAGTCTCACGCCTCGTGTCAATCGAGGCGTTGGAATGCGATTGGTGGGACGGGGCTTTAGTTTTTAAGGTATCTAGTGGTGCGATTCATGCGACCCAAGAACGGAACTCGCTAATCGGGCCCCAGCCTACTACTTAACCAAGTCACCAAGTTACTCTATCCTATCATGACCCAAAGGACACCAAATCTATGGATAGACTAAATCTCACTTAGTTCCTGGAATGGATAAGTGCCAACTCAGCCAGCAGTGCGCCCCTCATACTATTTTTCTAAGACCACAAGCCATGACTTATGAACACGAGGGGGAGAAGTTAAAAAACAAAAATAAAAAACAGACCGGGAGGGAGACCGGAATGCACGGCTGCCTAAGTCAAGCTGCTAGGATGCCTTAGGAAAAGCCTCCTGCAAGTATGCACGTAAGAAGTGCAGACTGAGCGGGTTGTGGGTGGATAACAATACCTAGGCCTTTTTTTTTTTTTCTCTTCCCAACCCCATCTCAAGATTTGAAATTTCAAATGTCTCACTATTCCTCCTGAATGGTTCTTTGCTTCCAGTTGTGGTCCTATAGTTTCCCCAGTTACGTTGACTCCCCAATTCCCATACGGATGTTGCTTTTTCTAGTAAGAGCTTCGCAAGGATTTCCCAATTTCCTTCCATCCCTCCCAATGATATCCACACTGGTTATCTTGAAGCTTGTATTACCTAAGTTTAGGTCCCGTCGTATCCTTTCCTCTTCCATCGCAATCGTAGCCCGCGGGTCCCGTCCGTTCCCTCCCCCAACAATCGACAAATCGAACCTAGACTTTTTTTTTTCTTACGCTTTGTTTTGCTTTCCCCCATCTTCAAAACCGGGCAGTGCTACGATCTATCGGTCAGCAGCATGGAGCTTTTACCAAATGAGGGTTAGAACAAGCGATCCCACGGGATGAGAGGTAACACTCATCTTGGGTTCCCGACTAGCGTGCGATGGTGGCTCGATGGACAAGACATCAGATCTCGACCAAATGGGTTTTCCTGCACATAGCCCCACCGCGGATAACCCCGCTGACTGGATGGAACAAAGAACCGTAATGGAAGGCGCTTGGCTATCTTAAATTTTAGATGGGGTACTACTTTAAGCATGAAGAATTCTCAAGCCAAGCATCACCGCTAGAGGGGAATTGGAAGGAGGGTGATAATTGAGGAGAAGAAAGAAAGAAAGAAAGAAAGAAAGAAATTCACGAAAAATTCTTTTCTTGCCCTGTTTGTAATGGTGTTTTGGTCTATCCCCTTAATTTTCGGACAAATCTTCTTTCCCCAACAAGGGAATTTGAATTTGGAATTGGGTTCGCGATCTCATGGTATGTTGTGCTACGGTGCACAAGGGCGCGATGAACCTATGGCCCCACTTTCACCGGGAACAAGACAGTTTAGGGAAAGTTTTTAAGATCGCGCTGATCGAGATCGCTGCGATGTCTCGGCAGAAGGGGCGGGGTGTAGTTACCGCATTCTTGCAGCGCAGAACAACCTATCTGATTCTTACTCACTCACTCACTGCTGCAGCAGGCCTTTTCCCAAGAAGGAAGAATATTACAAGACCTTTTCTTTGTTTTTTTTTTTTTTTTTTTTTTGCGTTTCGGTAAGTTCGTCCGTCGCTCCTTACTTTTCTTAGTTCTAGTATTCCTTCAATCACTCTTTAAAGAGTTTTAGTTTCTTAACGTCGCTGAACATATAGCCTACTTACTTTTCGCGGTAATTTACTCCCGATGTGGGCGGTTTTATAATTGAACATAATACCTTCCAGTATAGTCTGTCTCGTTCTGGGCCCTCCTCATCTTAGTCATAGTAAATTATACGTAATTAACATGTTATGGTCGCATCTTTTCTGAGACTGAACAACTGCCTAAAATGATTTTATTGTGTCTTTGTAAGGCAATCATGACAGCTGTCATGTTGAGAAGCACTTCAAGTTGTCATTCAGCCTAACATATCCTTGTTTTTGCTTATCCCTCACCCTCAACGATCGAGAAAAGAAAAAGGCAACGGGAAAGGCAACTGACTAACATATGTACATGACTTCCAGACAGCGTCCTCCATGCACAGGGACCCCTGCTAGTCAAGTTTCGCTTATGCTTATCAAACAGAGAATAGTATAGAGCAACAAGCAGGGGCCGATGCAGCTCGACCGACACCGGCGGCACATACCCAGGCTGTGGAGTACTGTAGGGAGATCGGAGAGTAGTCCCGATCTGTTTCATTCAAACAATAACCAGATTGAGAAACTTCCATGCACAAATCATTATATGCATGGAATACAATGGCCGGGATAAAGAACCGAGGCGCTGGGACTTATCCGGTGGCTAACTTATTCATATTGAACAACTGTTGCATTATAACCAGGTATCTAGATACCTGGCTTAGTTTCATGAGGTGTGAACAATATAAAATATGGCCCAAAAAGGTAATACTACTTGCGCTCATGCCATCATGATTCGGTTGACCTCGATCTCTGATCGATGGAACACTATCGCGTGCCGCCAGTCGCCGCGCGCGCCCTTGCATTAGCTCGCCTCGCTCATGGCTGGTCCAATCACGACATGAGATTGCAAGATTGTGGCTTCTTTCTATCTGGGAGTTATTGCACATATATGATTGCATACATGCCGCCTGTGTGCGCTGTATACTCTACGAGTCATATCGGTTGAGATAGGTAAGATATTGGGGTAAAAGAAGCTCAAGGGTGGTGGCGGCGCAAGGGCGCTCGGACCGAGTCATAAATTAACATTCTTATGGATGGGGTAAGTAGTGCGATATTGTCAGGTTAGTTGAAATGACATCATGACAGCTCCGATCATGCCGATGTGCATTATTATCTATCATTCTGACATGTTGACATTTCATTATCATGTCATGTATTGGGGTTGAGTACACTACGTACTCCGCTTTTCCTTATCATGGTCTGTGTCCTTGCCTGGCGTTCCCTTATGTTGCACAGGAGAGCTCCTTGCTGCTGCTCCTTGGGCAATTATTGGCTTCGGTTAAATTTTGAGGGTTGTCAACGTCAACTAACTGAGATCGTGCCATCGCTGGTTGAGACTAATACTACTGTGATGTGTCTGTTGATTCAGAGTAGTAATAGGTGCACTTTGGGGATTTATGCGGTTTTTCCTCAAAGGCATTAGTCGCATGCAGCGTGAATGTCAGGTATGAGTAGAAGGTTTGTGGAAGGCACCTGGAAGGCGCTTAAAACAGACTCGGTGATACTTATGGGATATTACTTGTAGAGAGTTATATTCAAATGGGATATGGCAATCAAACAATAAACTAGTGCTCCTAACTCTTTCTTGAAGGTAGAAGTAAGCATTCCCCCATCGGTAGCTAACAACCCAACTGCTGCTGTGACTTTCTTGGTGATAACGATGGATTACTGGGTGAACGACATTAGTCTACGCTTCCATTGGCGAACCCAGATTAGGACATCGCTAATAGAATGTACAATGGCATAATCGTAGAGTTTCATCCACTATTATACTGGGAAAGGGTTATCTGGTTGACAGCTCTTGATCACATGCGAGCATTACCGCTTTCAGAACACCGCCGATAAGATAAAGGGTATCACAGCGCCATCACGTGCAGTCGAGCTCCCCTCCTTTGCCAACAACTACTAGGAGTAACACATCAAGTCCCAGTCCATCACCATCATCATCGTCATCATCTTTGTTACATCAGTGATTAATGCCAGTTACGACACATTTACGAATTGAATCCCACGATACGACAAGAAAATTTGATTAAGCCCGAGCACATTCTGTGGCGAGTGTTCAGTTTACTGTCAACCAACCTGTCATCATCTGCTCCAATTACTCACACTACTGAGTTGATCTATCTAACCAGCTGTCTGCCTAAAAATGGCTCCTCCACTTGTGCCTCTCGCTGAGATTCCGACCGTTTCCCTCCTATACAAACTCAAGCGCTTGGTTCCAGTCTCCTCTCCGCTCGCACAGCCTTCCAAGGCTTTGAACGACACTATCTCTCTGATCCGCAACGACATCACCAAATTGGAAGGGGTCGACTGTATCGTGAATGCAGCCAACAAGTCTCTACTTGGAGGAGGCGGAGTAGATGGTGTTATTCACCGCGCCGCCGGACCTAGTCTGCTGGAGGAATGCCGCACCCTCGATGGCTGTGACACCGGTGATGCCAAGATAACCTCTTCCTATGACCTTCCGTGTAAACGAATCATTCATACTGTTGGGCCTATCTATGACCTTGAACTACAAAGAGGGAGGGAGCGTCCGGAGTCTTTGCTGCGCAGCTGCTATCGTCGCAGTCTGGAGGTTGCCGTGGAGAACAACATGAAAAGCATTGCCTTTTCAGCAATCAGCACAGGTGTGTACGGCTATCCAAGTGAAGTAGCTGCCCGTGTCGTCCTCGATGAGACACGGAAGTTCATGGAGATTCCGAGCAACATCGGAAAACTGGAACGGATCATCTTCTGCAACTTTGAGCGCAAGGATGAGATAGCCTACGAGAAGTTTACTCCGTGAGTCATGACTTGCCCTAGACATATTGATGGTATTGGTATGGCTAACAGTATTAGCTTGTTCTTCCCTCCAGAAGATCAGGGTGCCCCTAGCGCCAGCAGCGACCGCGAATCCCAACTCGAATCTGACGGTGAGTCTTCGAAATCGGCGGAGATGCTCGCAGCAAAGCTTCCCGACCCACCGACCGTTGATCCTGCCTTGAACGGAGAACCGGAGACTAAGAAGCAAAAGGTTAACGCGGACCAGACCGAACGTAGCGGTAGAAGCTACATGGAGGATTTCTCTATCAGATCTGACGATGACTGGGAGGAGGTTGACAAATCGGAAGATGGCCGCACGGAGAAACTGGACGACGAACCGGTTGAGGTTGATAGGCCTCCCTCTGCGACTGATGTGCAGAGCGTTCAGTCCAGTGGGATCATTGAGATGGACGGTTCCAACGCTTCAGACAGTGTGCTGGCAAAGGATTGGTAGTCGCATTGCTCCAGCCGACCATGAGATAAGTTAATGCATTGAATGATGCAACGTATGCTTTGAGCTTGGCGTTGAAGGGATTGATTAATGGGTAGCGCTTATCGACATGCAGCGCGGTTTTAATGAGATATCATCCTGGTATATGGCATGTCTCTACGACTGGGCTTTCACTTCTCGGCAGCATTGTTTTGTCTTTTAAGTAGTATTTTCCCTCCTAATGATGACATGCTTTATGTGCTACTTGACAATTCGTTCAAAGAGCGTGAAGTAAACGGTTTTGAAGGGGTCCGTGATACCAGGGTAGTAAATTGACCATCGCAATAACATCTTAATTTTGCGACATCCGTAACAGCCGTCACATGGTATACAATACTAGAGCTACGTCTCAACACTATCAGGCTACAAGGTGCATATAGACTATATAGGTTAATACTCTTGTTATCGCTGACATACTTGCCTAGGATGAAGGTTCTAACTAGAGAGTAACTAAACAAGTCAGAGGGTATACAAAGCAGGCCAACAGACACGATGACGTCGCTACCCATCCCGTGACCGCGCTGAGGGAGTTTGTACTGTTTGTGCCGTGTCTTACCTAAGGATAGATTGATCAGGGGCAATGGACCCGCTGATTGGCCTCACCGCTTGCGTGTCCCGCTTCCGGCGGTGTGTGAGAGTGGGAGAGAGTGACAGGCCGCCTGTCGTTGTTGTTAAACTGCCGCCTTCCCCTCCACGTTGCCTTTTCCTTCCCCTGGACCCCCTGATTGTATCTATTTAAATCGCTCACTTCCTCTTCGCATATTTGTTCTCTACCTTTGTTAGACTTCATTTTTTTTACTAGTCATCATGTCTGCTACCTGGTTCGACCAACAGAAGAGGTCCTTCGCGGACGTCAAGATCGATGCTGCCAACGACAACGGCATCTCGACCACCGAGTTCCTTGAAGCTGCTGAGTCCCTCACCACTCTTTTCGGTATGCCATTGGTCTCGTCTTTTGATAAGAAAGTGACAGTGCTGATGCTCTTCATTCAGACGTTCTCGGCTCCAAGGCTTTCACTCCTGTCAAGAGTGATTTGACCAACAACATCAAGGTTTGAACATACATAGTACCCCGCAGTCAGTTGCTATCGGAAGCTTACCTTCTATTCACAGAAAGTCAGGGAGAGGCAGCTGGCTGCCCCCGCTGAGTCTGAGACTCTCCAGGCTCTTGTTGTCAACGAGCTGAAGACCAAGAAGCACGTCGCTTCTGAAGGTCTGCTCTGGCTTGTCAGGTATGTCTACCTACCCACCTTCCCCCACCCCACTGTGTTTCAACGGCTATTGAGTCGTTGTATACCTGCCACTTGAGTTACACATGCTAACATACAATTTGTCCTGTGCTACAGAGGTCTTGACTTCACCGCCCAGGCCCTCCGCCACAACCTGAACAACGGCAGCACCGAGCTGTCCGACTCCTTCCGTGAAGCCTACGGCAACACCCTCAAGCCCCACCACTCCTTCGTTATCAAGCCCATCTTCTCTGCTGCTATGTCGGCTACCCCCTACCGCAAGGACTTCTACGCCAAGCTTGGTGAGGACCAGGCCAAGGTCAACGAGTCCCTGAACGCCGAGGTGGTGGCTCTTGAGAAGAACGTCGCCATCCTCAAGGAGTTCCAGGGCCGTAAGGAGGCGAAGTGGTAGATATAAGGAACATCTGTTCATACTGTGAGGAATATCTGGCATATTTACTGGGCGCTTTTTAAAGATGTATATATTTTCTAAAGAGTCTGAGACTCCTTGCATGATAACTAGATTTTTGAATCGCGCGAAATTGGTTGCTGAGGCCAGGTCGTCCTTTCTACTCTGTGATGGACGCTGGAACAAATAATCGTCTATTTTGTGTCATCTTTGGACATGTCATCATCATAGCTATCCTATCAGCATGCAAGCATACAACCCACTTTTGAAAGAGAACTGAAACCGAAACCGAAACCCAGTAGCAGTGGTATCATCTGTCGCAGACGTCTCAACCCATCCCCGCCCACACTATATATCCCACTAGTATGCTCCCATCCCTTAATCAACAGCCCGTTAGCGCTACTTTGGCGCCGCCATAACTGTGGGCCCATTCCACTTCTTATGTCCTCTAACAAACCAGTCAATCACCGCGAATAACAGAGCGACGCCAAAAACCGGGGCACCATAATTCATGCCGCTCGCCGTGACAGGCTGAGTTTCAGGCCACGGAAGGAATATCGTAATATAAGTACCGTACAGCATGGCAAAAGTATTAATCGGAATACCGAACCTCCCCAAGTTAAACGGGCCATAGCGGATCTCACCCGGGAAGCGAACCCGCTTGATCAGCATGAACAGAATCGGGACCAAATAGGAGATATAAAGGGCGAGAGTGTCCAGCGACAAGACGGCGTTGAACGCAGCCGAAGAACCAATGTTGATCAAGGCAATCAGGACGGTGATTGTCGTCACTAGGAAAAGAGATCGCAGAGGGATCTTGTATCGGGGTGATACATGTGCGAAAAACGTTGAGAAGGGGAATCCCTCGTCGCGCGCAAACGCCCATGTGAGTCGACTGACTGATGCTAGGACGTTGAAGGAGGAGTAGCAGCCAGAGAGGAGGATCGGGAGCATCATTGCGCTGGAGGCTGCTTTTGATCCGGTTTGTGCGTAGAATATTTCGATGATGGGGTATCCGGTCGGGGAGTCGAGGGCTTTTTGGAAGTCGCCCATGGTGTATAGCAAGGCTATGGCGAAGCCGAAGGCAAGGATGGCGTTCACGCATAGGCCCCAGACCATTGAGCGGGGGACGGCTCTGGGTGCGTCGTTGACTTCTTCGGACATGTGGATGACGCCGTCGAAACCTGTTTGGGGGTTTTCGAAGGTTAGCATGTTGAGAGATTATGGATGGGCAAGGAAGACTGACTGCTTAGGGTGAACGCCGCTGTCAGCAACCCAATCGAGTAGATTACTCCCTTGTTGTGCCATCCACTCTGATCGGTGACGAATTCTGTCCACACAAAATCGTTCGTGTGCCGTTGCCCTAAGACAATCATGACGACCATAATGGCCGGGTATGATAGGATATGAATGACACCTGATAGCACTTCGACCGGTGCTAAGAGGCGGCGCGCAAAGATGTTGACCAACAAGGGCAGGAAGAGGACTGCAAACACTAGGAGAGTCCCATGCCATCCTTCCGGCTCATAGGAAGGGTAGTTCTGCACAAGTAGTCCTTGGATCTCAGTGCCGACTAGGTATGGCCCAACGGCGACATTGGCCCACCATGCTATGACCTAATATTCACGAAGTGGTGTCTGATTAGAGTGTGTCCACTGTCATCTTCGGCATCGGTTTACTGGAGGCTTACCGTGACCCAGCCTGCCATGGTAAAATTACATATTAGCCATTTAAATCGAAGCTTTTTTTCAGAAAGGGAAGTAACTCACCTTGGATAAAGCTTAAGAATCGAGGTGCAAATGGCGCGAGCTCATACGTCCAGTGATACTGAGCACCGGCAACGGGATTACTGTATACAGCGATTAGGGAGACGAATTGTGACGCATATTTTTGTCATCGTAGGAGTCCACTCGTACATTGATGCCATCTCTGCCATAGACAAAGTCAAGCACAGGGAGCCAGCGAAGGACAGTAGCATGCCGTAGACAATTGCGACTGGGCCACCGTTCAACAGTCCAGCCTGAAGACTAGATCCTAAAGATTCCCATGATGCTTGTAGGGTTGCGGCAAATGCTAGCATAGGTAGAAAACCGAGATATCTCTGAAATACAATAGCGCTCAGTGAGAGAACTAGGTTTCAAGTAACATAGAAATTGTTTGCTCACCTCAAGCCGTGGCTTCCCTCGATACTGATAGGAAGATGGGGGTGGGGGATCTTCTATGCTCATCGAATGAGGCCCTTTTGCGGGACTAGACAGCCCTATTGGATTATTGTCGTATTCCATGATTCGCAATCATCAAAAGAAAACGTGCTAGATAGGGTAGACGCTTGTTTCAAGACGTTAAGCCAGTAGAAAAAGCAAAACAACAGAAGGTCAAGGATGAAAAAGAAAACACAAAACACACAAATCGAGCGGGATAGCTTTGCATTTAGGACAATTAGTGGGCGAAGCTAATTGCTCTATGCGATGTAACTAAGCATGGGCGATATATTAATCCCTGATCGTAACCGGCCGGCGGCTTTAGCTACTGTAGGTGGTAGCCACCATCCCGAATTAGTGCCAGACTGGAATGTGAACTAAACAGGATTCTATCCTTTTGTCTCTCATTGCTACGCTACCGACACTGATTGCGCGTTCACATAGACCCCGACATCTTTTTAATGTGGTTCTGGTCTGAGTACTACGCATAGTGCGGATTGATCTAGACCGGTGCCCCAAAGCTGCCTTTGTCGTTGGTTTATTAAATAGTAATTAACATATTTACTAGGTTCATAAAACCAACAAAACCCTGCAGTTATGGCAATCTCTTACTAGTAGTAAATGAACCATGTCCCTGTCAGCCTTAGCGTTGATGTAACATTGAGCATTTATATATGGAGGTAGCAAGAGTTCCTGTTGGTTCCCAATCTGTCTGCTTCTCTTTAAACCATCGATGTTGAGAGGGATTTTTCTAGCATGTTATCACAGCCATGCCCTCGTCATCATCATCTGAGCTTCTACCACCCTTGGAAATAATAACACCTTATAACAGAGGCCCAGCAATCACACTCGTGGCCTTTGTTTTTTTCTTCGTGACTTTGATCATCGTCGCCGTCAAATTTGGAACTGCCCTATGCACAAAGACAGTGCTCTTAAGCACAGATGCACCTCTGTGGATTGCCTTAGTAGAAAACCCGTTTTGCCCTCCAAGAGCACGACTAATAGTTTCTATGGCCAGATTATTGCCTTTATTCAAACTCTACTTACTCAATTTGCAGTTGACCATGGGCTTGGGAAACATGCATCTTCTTTTTCCACTGCTGACTTCTCCACGTACAACAAGGTTGGCCATATTTCCTCCAGTTACTGGTATGGATCCTAAAGCTTACTTGTTTGCTGCTTCTATTAGCTCACCTATGCCGCTCAATTACTTCTTATTCCTGTCCTTTCACTTTCAAAGCTGTCCACTTGTCGATTGATTCACAGGCTCACACCAGGTCAGCGCATCAGACGAGCCAACATGATGAACATCATAGTTGTCGGCCTATGGACTGTGTTTGCAGTTTTTGCCACGGCTCTTCAATGCCGACCGCACTGGGAGTATCTACCTAGCCAGTGTGCCGGTCAGGTAAGATTCGTGATCGTATAAGTTATTCCTACCTAACCATATTCAGGGCGCTATTAACTATCCAATCATTATCATCAACATCCTCACAGACTTGGCATTGGTGGTGATTCCACTGATTATGATTTGGAGCGTGCAAATGACATTGCAAAAGCGTCTTCAAATCATCGCTTCATTTGCCACAAGACTTGTGTAAGAGAACTGGGTCCTTCCAAGTATTTATGGCTGATTGCAGACTAATGATCATGAAGCGTGGTGGCGGTCAGTATCACTGAACTGGTGTATCTTCCGACATATCTACATTCATCTGATCCAACATGTAAGAGTTTCCGGGCACTCGACGCAAAGAAGGCAAAGGCAGCCGAAACGTTAACATTTATCTCACAGGGACAATTGTTGATGTAGACATTTGCAATGAGTGAGAAGAGGATCTTATCACACTCTATTCGGTCGCAGCTAATGTTAGAACATCGCAGACTTATAATGTACCTCAGCATCATAGCAGCTTGCATGCCTTCGGTCTATCGCATCCTCAGCAATCTCAAAACCGGGTTGAATGGCGTCCATATGTCCGAGATCGAACTCAGCACCACTCAAGGAGCCACAGGTTCCAGAACCAAATCCGGGAATCAAGGTGGCTACAGCTCTCGAGCGAGAAGACGTTCTGCTTTGTTTCCAGGCTTCCGAGCTACCGAGTTGTTCTCTAGACTTGATACGACGCAAAACAGACTGTGTACCATACAGGATGATACAATTCGCAGAAACAGGGATGATGCGGAGAGCACGGAAAGCACTAGAGGGCTGACAGAGGATCAGCCACCGGCTGATGGGGTCAGAAAAACGGTGGACATATATGTAGAAGTCAATGACAATCGATCATGATGCCTTTCAAAGCAGTAATAGGCGTGCATATTGGTAAGGGAAGCGAAACATTAGCAAATGACGATGGGTGACTGAACATTGCTTTGATGCCTATGTGCAGCATGAACACACAATGTGCAAATTTCTTACTCTTGTTTCGATTACAACCCGCTCAGAAGCAGGGGATATTTTTTCTTCCTGGAGAGTACAATTACGTGGACTCAGCTCAAGTCAAAGTGTCTGCGGGTCGGTGCTAGCGAGGATCCCCTGCTTAGCTCTACATAGGTGAGATTCTAATCTCCACTTTCCCCTCCCCATCACTATGAAGCCATTCGAAAACAACGACTTGGGGATAGACCAAAATATTACAAAATAGCATTGACTAAGAAGCTGATCTCTACGTAGTAAAACTACAAGGCTTACATGGTTACATTGAGAACCAAGTTTCAGGGAAATCTAGGAGCATAGATCCCTGTTAGGCCTCCACACTACTACTAGTACTACAAAGCATCACTAGATCATCCACTAGTGGCTGG